GGTCAAAAAGTCAACTTTTAAACTAATAAAATATTCTAGGGGTATTTTAGTCTTTTTCTCAAATAAATTAATAATTAAATATTAATTTTAGGTTTGGGTTATTACAGTATATGTGTTTTTCAAATATTATTGAATAAAAAATTTAAATAAAAAAAAAAAAAAAAAAAAAAAAAAAAACAGACGACTTCGTTTTGGTTCATAGCAGATAGCATGGGCACCCATGCACTCCCCTAACGACGTCATTGTTGATGTCGTTTGAGTCGATTGGTTTGGCACCTTCAATTCAAAATACGCAGTTAAACTTTTCTTTATAATATTTTCTGGTTCAGAAAACGCCATCAAAGCAGAGGGACAGGGATAAGCAACTTGTATATAAATGCAATTTCTAAAAGATGGTCTTATATATCACGTTCAAGCCATAAAAGCCGGTTTTCCGCTAACCATTTTCACTTCCAATCAACTCATACACTTGTATTCCAGAAATGGCCTTTTTCGAGAAGCCCAGAAACTGTTCGACGAAATGCCCCAACGAAACGTTTTCTCTTGGAATGCCATTATATCTGCTCACATAAAAGCACAAAACTTGAAGCGAGCCCGCCAGTTATTTGACTCTGCTTCGTACAAGGATTTGGTCACTTATAATTCACTGTTATCTGGTTACGTCAGCACAGACGGGTATGAGGATTGTGCGCTTGAGCTATTCAGTGAAATGAATTCACTGGATTGTGGGATTAGAATTGATGAGATTAGTCTCACAACTATGCTGAACTTGACTGCAAAGTTAGAAGTGGTGTCTTATGGAAGGGAGTTGCATTCGTTTATGGTGAAAACTGCCAATGATTCAAGTGGGTTCGCGGTGAGCTCACTTATTGATATGTATTCTAAGTGTGGATATTTTCAAGAAGCGTGGCAGGTTTTTAGTGGACATAGAGGGGTGGTTGACTTGGTTTCGAAGAATGCAATGGTGGCGGCTTGTTGCAGAGAAGGAAAATTGGAAGAGGCAGTTAATCTATTTTGGACAGAACCGGAGCTGAATGATAATGTGTCTTGGAACACATTGATTGCAGGGTATGCCCAGAATGGTTTTGAAGAAGAAGCACTCAATGTGTTTGTCCGTATGGCGGAGAATGGATTTAGGCGGAATGAGCACACTTTTGCCAGTGTTTTAAGTGCTTGCTCAGGCCTGAGGAGCTGCAAACATGGAAAGGAAGTCCATGCTTGGGTGTTGAAGAATGGGATGACTTCGAATTCATTTATACTCAGTGGAATTGTTGATGTCTACTGTAAGTGTGGCAATATGAAGTATGCAAAGTCAGTTCACGCAGCAATGGGGTTTGAAAATTCCTTCTCGGTCACGTCAATGATTATGGGCCATGCCTTTCATGGTAACCTAGTAGAAGCACGGAGACTTTTTGATTCATTGGCTGAAAAGAACACTGTTGTATGGACAGCTTTGTTTTCTGGATATCTCAAATCACAGAAATGTGAAGCTGTATTTGAACTTTTAAGTGAGTTTAGGGCGAAGGAATCAATAGTTCCTGATGCTGCAATTCTCATCAGTGTTCTTGGTGCCTGCGCAATAAAAGCTGCCCTGGATCCTGGAAAGCAGATTCATGCGTACATCTTAAGGAGCAGGATCGAAGTGGATAAGAAGTTGTTTAGTGCTTTGGTTGATATGTACTCAAAATCTGGGAGTATTACCTACGCAGAAAAACTTTTCAAGAGAGGCTCTGACAGGGATATAATCCTGTACAATGTGATGTTAGCTGGTTATGCTCACCATGGGCATGAAAATAAAGCTATCCAGATCTTCAATGAAATGTTGGAGCGAGGTATTAAACCTGATGTAGTCACCTTTTTGGCAATTCTATCAGCTTGTCGACACTCTTGTTTGGTGGAATTGGGTGAGCAGTTCTTCTACTCCATGAAAAAGGATTACAATGTATTGCCCGAAATTGAGCACTATGCTTGTATGATTGATTTGTACGGGAGGGCTAACCAACTTGACAAGGCAAAAGAATTGATGAGAAAGATTCCTATAGAATCAGACACCATTATATGGGGGGCATTCTTGAATGCTTGTAGGGTAAATGGAAATACCATACTTGCTAGAGAGGCAGAGGAGAGGCTATTAAAACTTGAAGGAGACATTGGTGATCGGTATGTACAGTTGGCTAATTTATATGCTGCAGAAGGAAATTGGGATGAGGTTTGCAGAATACGGAAGAAGATGAAAGGAAAGGAGGCCAAGAAGGCTGCTGGTTGCAGTTGGTTATACGTGGAAAATGGAGTTCATATATTTATTTCTGGTGACAAAACTCACCCAAGAACAGAGGCTATAAATTTTACCTTAGCCTTATTGGCTGAAGAATTATATCAGATATCTTGAGCATCCATTGAGGGTCATAATTTGAATTTCATCATCTCAACACAGCCAGTTTATTCTCAAGTGGTTTTGTGTGTGTCGATTACGTAGTTCATCAGTGACAAGGTCTTGGAGTGTTTTTGCACAACAAGATATATACCACAATCACTAATGTGGTGGTAATTCTAGGCAATTAAGTAGGGTGAGCCAAAATGCTCTCTCTCTAATGCACAAAAGGTTGTTGATATAAACCCTAGTTATACTCCATTTCGGCAAAAGATCTTGCTTTCTTCCTGCCAATTACAATTTGACACGTATGCAAAAATAATTCATCAAAAACACAAAAGAAAAACTTCTGCAAACATATCATATTGCCATTAGCAAAAATGTTACGAGGAAAGGGAGGAAAGTATTTTCCGTGCATAAATGGAATATAATTACGGTTTATCCAATTAACTATCCGCTCCCTCATCCCCTAAGAAAAAAAGAAAAAAGAAATATCCGCTCCAACGTAAAAATAAAAATAATAAAAATCATGAAAAACTGAAAAAGAAGGCCAACGAACAAATTCTCTTGTTATTAATATTCAAAGAACCCTCTTACAAATAGTGTTGTTTTTATTTTTATTTTCTGTATCACTCTGTTTCATGGCTCTCCCAGGCGAGGTCAGCGATCTCTCTCTCTCTAGTGTATTTGATCTTGTTCCTTTCAACAACGAACCATATTTTTCCGCCATAAAATGTTTTACTTGTTAAATTGTAAAGCGTCGTTGCTTAGTGCAGGTCGGGTTGCGCGTACTGCTTTGCCCTCTTGGTTCCAACGTGCTCGTCCGGACTGCCTGGTAAACTTTTTTCTTTTTCTTTTTTTTGGGTTTTTATTGCTTTGTTAATTCCTTTTTAGGTTTCAGAGTTTATAGTTCTTTCACTGTTTCTATACTTGGTTAGCAAATTAAGTAGTGTATTTTGTTGAGATAAGCAAATGTTGAATAATGGTTTGTGCAGCTGCTCTGTGGGGATTGCTTTACCCGTTTACTCAACGTTTAAAGCTATTGAGAATAAGGATCAAGCAGAGCAACAAAGGTGGCTCCTTTATTGGGCAGGTCAGAAATCCCGTTTCTAATTTTGTTTTCTTCCAAATACACTATCTTTGATCCTTACCACTATTGTTAGTTCCTTTGTAAGACTACTATGAGATCAATATTGGGATATTTTTGAGAAATTTAGATACTCTCTAATGGATTATTAATGTGTTTTCAATGAATTGACTGGAGGCATGTTTTTAATTGTTCCTTTATGAGATTAATATCGCATACACAAAGAATTTCTGGGTAGGTGGTTTATTCCCTTAAATTGAATTCTTTTTCTACCCTCCTAAGATAGCCTGTAGAAAGAAATTTTAGGGAAAACCCCCATAGGGATCATCTTCTTATTAGACAATATATGGAGGAGAAAAAGTACAAAGCAAGAAATGTTGTGGCGAAGAACGCCACATTCCATTAGATACCTAACTTTGAGATGCTTAAGGTACAAGATTGGCAGAAAAATGCACGACTACTAGAGAGGATTTTATTAACGCATGTATGTGTTAAACTGGTGCAGATCAGTGAGTTCCTTGTTTTGGTATTTGGGTCTTTCACCAGTTCTAGTTGCTGGCGGCAACCTATTGTAGAAGTCCGCATTATAATTGCATTGTCCAGGGTTTTCTTGTTCTTTTTTAGTGTTGACTTTTTTTTTGCTACTTGCAGCTTATGGATCTTTCAGTATTGCAGAAGTATTTTCAGACAAGATTCTGTCCTGGTAAAGTTTTCCATATAACATGATTCTTCTTCAATTTTCATATATGAATATAAAAGTACTCTTATACAAAACAGACCGTGGGAACCATAGCCTTTGAGAAAATAGAGTTTGAAGCCTAACCTTAAGGTCTTTCATTTAATGGAAAGTTGTGATCTCTCTTTAGGGGTTAGATATTTCCCTTGTTCTAAGTATTTGATGGAGATATGGAGGTATTCAATGGGAATTGATGTGATTAGGGAATGTGATTTGAGTTGATTTCCGTTGACCTCAATAAATTAGACTATGGCATAACTCTAATGACAGACCTTAATTTGAAATTTAAATCAGATTACCAACCGTTTTGTTTTTCCTTCTTCTCTTCTCTGTTTTCTCCTCTTCTCCCTCTCTTTCTTTCTCCCCTATTCTATTTCCTCTCGGGGTGCATTTGTGTTTGTCAATATTCTTCTTCTTGCTAGATGACTTTGAAGGAGTTGGTCCAACTCTTGATGGAAGGTTGGTTTGAATAATGACATCTATGGAAACATTACGTATGATTTGTTTGAATAGATTAGACTGTTGCATTCTCATTTACAATCCTAAATAAGCACAGTTTTTGTTGCATTTGTCTTCATATTTCTGGAATTATAGTTGTGTTTAACAATATCACAAGTGTTGCTAATCTAGTAAGCGGTAGTTTCAAGTTTAAAATTTTGTTTTACTGCTTCTCTGAATGAGTTATTGTAATCTGATGAAGGCTCTTTGCGTCATTTCATCAGGTTTCCGCTCTACTACCATGTGAAGTTTGCATTTCTTGTTTGGTTACAACTTCCATCCTCAAATGTAAGCACGGCTAAATTGCTTTTACTATGTAGTGCTTCTTGTTAATTCCTGCTTGCAATTGATTTCTTTGTTAGTGGTATTGGTTTTAGTTTGAGAAAACTTACATTCTTTACCAGTGCTTCTTTTTCTTTTTCTTTTTTCTGTTTCACTCCAAAAACTAAGTGCATCGTGTATGTTCAGTTTTTCTGATACCATGAAGGTTTAGAAAATACTCCAAAAAGTACACTTAAGTGAGCTCTTAAAGAGCTTGACTAACTGCTTGCTGTTTAACAGGGGGCAAAGCATCTGTATACAAGCCTTCTGCGTCCGTTCTTTCTGAGGCATCAAGCCCGACTTGATCAAGCTGTGGATTTTATATATGGTCAAATGGTAATTACTTCTTTGATATTCTTATGACGTAAGTGTTTGTTCAACCAGCCTTGCTATTTACTGAAATTATTGTAGATATGGTAAAATTTATTGTCGAATGGTATTCTGCATCATCATGCCACTCATTGAGACCTCATGTTTACATTAACTTTTCTTGTCCACTTCTGAGTGCTGCTGAGGCTTGTATATGGTTGCACTTTCTTGAGGGCTAATAGATTCTGAACTTGCAGAGTAAATTCTTTAGTTCACACCAAGGAGATTTACAGTTTGCGAGGGTGCTTTTCATGAAGGTTTTGGCAGCAGGTATGGATGGGAACGATTTGGACTATTTACGTATGTTAGTGTTACATATCTAATATGATACATGTGGTATTGTTAACAAGAAAATTTCACAAATTATTTGATAAGATTACCTACTTATATTTTGTTTTCTTCCCTTTTCTCTTGAATCAGCAAGTGGGGTGGTTAAGGGTGTTGTGCCCCCCGGGAAAAGGCAAGCAAGTCCGGCGATCGAAGACCCTGCAAAACAAACTCAGGACTCTGAATCAGAAAAAGATGAGTAGAGCATTCACCAGTTTCCGTGACCAGAAATACATGTTTCATAGATCTGGTAGTTAAGGTGTTGAAACTTTTTTCTTTTTGGGTCTCAATAGATCTTGTACATAATACACATATTTTTTGTTTCTAGTTGCTTGTGGAACCCAAGTTCTCATTCAAGAAGTGATCTTTGACCATTATTCTTGACATGAATTTTACTCTTCACCTTGTTTAACATCCAATTTGATTTCACAAAGGTTTGCGTATGGGAAAACCATTGACCAACAATGACCAACGGAGTTTGAGGATGACATAAAAAAAAGGGTAAAAATCATTTTGGTCTCTGTAGTTTGGCACTTCAACCACTTCTGACCATGTAGTTTCAATTCCATCAATTTTGACTCTATAGTTTCGTATTTGTAGCAATTTAAGGACAAGTTAGTATTCTTGCCAATTTTTTATTCTTGTCAATTTCTTTGACGGCACAAGGTGCAATTTCGTCAACCCAAAATCCTTGAGCATAAAAGCTCGTTTGAAACTCTCCAAATTTCATATAAGGACTTGAAATTGGTCATTTGGGTTTAGGGTTCTTCAAAAATTGGGAGTAGTGGTTGAATTTCGAGCCCTGATATGAAATGGGGAGAATTTCAAACAAGCTTTTACTCTCAGGCTCCATTTGGCTTATGGGAAAGGAGACTTGGGGATGAGAAATTAATTGTTTTCTCATGTTTGGTAAGTCCATGCATAGGAAACCATTGCTTGGCCCATGGGAAAGTAAGGGGGAAAGTAAAGTCATCCTCCCAACTTGGGTTTTGTTTTCCCTCCTCATAGAAAAGTTTAGGAAAATGAGCCAATATTAAATAAATATTTTTCATGACCATTTTGTCCCCGTTAACAATTTAGAATTACAATATATCATTAAATACATTCTTTTTTTATTTCATTCAATATGGGTATAATTGAAAATTTATCAAACTTTGTTTTCCATTCCTACTCAAACAAAAATGAGAAATGAAATAAAGTGATATCTCCCGGTTATTTTCTTAGTATTACCAAACATGGGAAAGTAATCTTTCATTTCCCATCCCTTAAGAAATGACATGGGAAATGATTTCCCTTCATATTCGTTTCGTGAACCAAACAGGGCCTCAACGGTTTTGGATTTACGAAATTGCCCCTTACATCGTTAAAGAAATTGACAAAAATACTAACATGTCCTTGAATTGCTTCAAATACGAAACTACAATGGCAAAATTGACGGAATTGAAATTACATGGTCAAAAGTGATTGAAGTGCCAAACTACATAGACTAAAAATAACTTTTGGCCTAAAAAAAAATTTGAATGTCAAAATTTGAACCTTCCAATTTAAAGAATCAAATTGTTCGATGACTACAAGTGCTGCTAAGTTTTTTTTAAATAAAAAAAACTAATGATCATTTTGTGATGCTAATGATAATTTATTTTAGTAATAATAGTCTATTTTATTATAAATAAATTTAAATTTCATCACATTATTATTATTATACAAATTTATAAATAAACCCAATCCTAGACATGTATTTATAAAAAAACCCAAGCACTATTTAAACATAGAAACACACCCAAAATCAACCCCAAAGTCAACTTTTTGGGTGTGTTTATAAATGGGTTTTGAGTGTGTGTAATGATGGGTTTTGGGTGTGTTTATAAAGTGTTTTGGGTGTTGGGTTTTTTTATAATTTCAACCTCCATTTTGGGTGTTTTAGTGAAACTCCCTTTTTTTTTTGGTTGGGCTACTTAGTTTACCATCGTTTCTCTATCCGAAAAGTCCGTCTCGGCTATAGCCAAAGGAGCTTTTAAAGAAAGTTTACTAGTGATATTGGGACAACGAGAATTAAATAGAGGACCTCAGATACAAAGTAAATATTCTCGACCTCTTAAGCTATAAGTTCATTTCTTAATTTGTAAGTTTAAATTTCTCTGAAGCAATCAAAACGAGCAACCATAAACACCATTAAATTAGGATGATGGCATACTAACAATAAAAGAAAGTACAATAGTAATAAAATTAACATAAAAACAAAATTAAAACTTTTTTTAACATGCTAAAATAGAGCACCTTTTTTGTATGAGTAACTCGTAGATGTTCTTCTTTGAAATACAACTATATGTCTATTTTTTATATTATGTAAACATATAATAAGAGAAATAGACAAATAATTGCATATCCTAATGTTCGCAGCCACTCGTAATCATGGTAGGAGAACAAAGCAAAAGAACGCACTTTATTAGGCCAACCACGATTTTTATTGTTGTTGTCGTTGCAAAATAACGGTGGCGCAAAGTAAGTCATCAACATCCTCATCGTCGTCAGAAAATATTGACGGCCGAAGTTCGGAACAGAAGATGCCACTGCACCATATTCCATTTCGTTAATATCTTCCTTCACAAGATGTCGCCATGAACATAGCCAATAACCAGCACATCATTTCAGTACTCCTTTCCTATGTCCCTCCCTCATGCAAGAGAGGAGGGAGGATGGAAGATTTAAACTGGAATTTTTGAGATATGCATGACTTTGGGGCTGGAGAATTCAAAGAGAGGACCGGGAGAGGCACGTTTGTTTTGAGGTATAAATAGACCTTGAAATTTAATGTTAACCCTAAAATACCCACGCTTAAGACAAATATGATGAGAATTGAACAAGCAAACTACGTAAGGATATATACGTAAAAGACAGGGGTTGCCGTAACCTTCCCTCTCCTTCTTACAAATTTATAAATAAACCCAATCCTAGACATGTATTTATAAAAAAACCCAAGCACTATTTAAACATAGAAACACACCCAAAATCAACCCCAAAGTCAACTTTTTGGGTGTGTTTATAAATGGGTTTTGAGTGTGTGTAATGATGGGTTTTGGGTGTGTTTATAAAGTGTTTTGGGTGTTGGGTTTTTTTATAATTTCAACCTCCATTTTGGGTGTTTTAGTGAAACTCCCTTTATTATTATTATTATTCTCTAAATGTAAATGTAAATTCAAGGAGACTGTTGCATTTACCCGCCCCTTGAAATTTAACTATAATCAGGATAAATTAGAATAATAAACCAAAATATTAATATTTTAAAACCCATATACCTTCTTCATTGCTCTAGTCAACCATTGTCTGAAGTTGGCAAGTCCCAGCTTCCGCTCTCTGCTTCTCTCTCTCTCTCACTCTCTCTCTCTGAAGACTCAAGCATTGCTGTGAAGGAAATAGGCATGGTGGGTCGCCGAGAGAAAGCGCAGTCTTTCTGCAAATCGAGGGTCGGCGTTGCCATAGCAATCGGAGTCCTTCTCGGCTGTGTCTTCGCCTTGTGCTTCCCCAATGGCTTTGTTTTTATTTCCAATCCGGCCCCTATTCTCAATCACCGCTTCGTCAAATCCATTGCTCAGGTTGTTCTTAATCTTTTTTTAAAATTTGGGTTGTTCTTTGTTTACTTACTTTTCTTATTTTTCTAGTTCTCTGTTTGAGTGATTGCTGAGTGCTTGCAATTTTGAGCATTTTCTATGAATGGATGATTGGTGATTGGGATTTTTCAATTTGATGACAAATGAAGCCTGTTGACTTGAGATTTTGGTGGATTGACTTTTGATTGAAACCCAGTAAATGCAATTAATTTGTGTGTATACTCTGTCCCAATGATGGAATTCAGATTGTATGCTATCCTTTTTTTTGGTCAAATCAGATTATATGCTAGGCATACTGAGAAGTTAGTTTGATTTGAATTTTGATGTATGCTTTCAAGCGCTTTCATTCCCCATTTGGGCATTTTTGTAAACCTTTGACATGAGACGACTATCATTTATGCGTATAACATGATTGTGGGCTTCTTGTGATCCTTTAATTGCCATACATATAGCTTCTCTGGAGTTCTGAATTGCAACATCTAATCTTAGAACAGATCAACATAGTTTAATGTGTAATTTTGAGGGTCAACATGATGATATTTATATTTTTGGTCATTTGTGTACTAGGTTGGTTCTACCATGTGTGAATCATCTGAACGGATCAACCTGTTGAAATCAGAGTTTGTGGCGGCTTCTGAGAAAAATGCCAAGTTGAAGAAGCAGGTTAGGGAATTGACTGAAAAGATTCGGTTGGCGGAACAAAGGAAAGATCAGGCAGAAAAACAGGTTCTTGTGTTAGGTGATCAGAAGAAAGCAGGGCCTTTTGGTACTGTCAAAGGCTTAAGAACCAACCCTAGTGTTCTTCCTGATGAATCTGTGAATCCAAGATTAGCAAAGATTTTGGAGAAAGTAGCTGTTAATAGAGAGCTTATAGTTGCACTTGCAAATTCAAATGTGAAGCAAATGTTGGAGGTATGGTTCACTAATATTAAGAGAGTGGGCATATCCAATTATCTGGTTGTTGCTTTGGATGAAGAAGTTGCAAAGTACTGTGAATCAAAAGATGTTCCAGTTTATAAGAGAGACCCCGATAAAGTCATTGATTCAGTTGCGAGGACTGGAGGGAACCATGCTGTCTCTGGGTTGAAATTTCGTATTTTGAGGGAGTTTTTGCAGCTGGGATATAGTGTTCTTCTGTCGGATGTTGATATTGTGTACTTGCAAAACCCTTTTTTTTATCTGTACCGTGATTCAGATGTAGAGTCGATGACTGATGGTCATGACAATAGGACTGCTTATGGCTATAACGACGTCTTTGATGAGCCAGGAATGGGCTGGGCTCGATATGCGCATACAATGCGTATGTGGGTTTATAACTCTGGTTTCTTCTACATTAGACCGACAATTCCTTCAATTGAGCTGTTGGATCGTGTGGCCAATCGACTGTCCAGGGAGCAGGCTTGGGACCAGGCAGTTTTCAATGAGGAACTCTTCTTCCCTTCTCATCCTGGGTATGAGGGGCTTCATGCTTCCAGGAGAACTATGGATTTCTATCTTTTCATGAATAGCAAGGTCCTCTTCAAAACTGTGAGGAAAGACGCTAATCTGAGCAAGTTGAAGCCAGTAATCGTTCATGTTAATTACCATCCTGATAAGCTTCCTAGAATGTTAGCAATTGTGGAATTTTATGTCAACAGGAAGCAGGATGCTCTGAAACCTTTCCCTGATGGTTCAGATTGGTAAGAGATTGTTCCGCTAATCATATATACACGCTTGGGACATTTTGATACTTTGTGTTCAAAAGAATTGTAACGTAAATTTTCCGTATACTTGTGTTCAAAACAATATCCAAGAGTTGTAGGCTTAAAGACTTAATTTTGAATTATTTTAGGAATGTCAATCCTCTGCCATTTAAGAAAAGGAAAAAAAATATCCATATGTGGATTTCGTTAGCTTAGTACTCCTTTACTAAGCACACGTTTATTTACATCAAAATTGCATGAATAAATTTGTGCATTTTACTTGCATGCACAAACAGACTTACTTTTGTTTCAACACTGCAGAGGCCATTCTATTTACATAAAAATTCTATGTGCTCTTGCGCGAAAATATGTGTGTAATTTACTTGTATATATACACCCTAAAAAAAACACAAGAGACTTATTCTTGTTTCAACTATGGCCATTTCTATTTATAATTAGAAAAATCTTTACAGTTCCATTCTCCAATCCAAGTCTCACAACATTTAGTAGAAAACCATCAGTTGGCACAAAACAGGCGAAAATGATGAGATGGGAATATTTTTCTTCCTTTCTTCTTTTCATTCTGGAGCTTTCAACTACAATAAAAAGAAAAAAAATCAGCAGAGTGGTTATAGCCCCAAACTAAGCATTAGAGGATCAGGACTTGAGTTGTCTCTGCTTGGAGTTTTCGGTTCAGCGCTGTTGCTTTCGCCATCAAAAGGTTCAGGGCTGTTGCTTTTGCCATCAAAAGACTCAACTTTCGCAGCTTTGAGATCAGAAACGGCATCTGGACCATACGTCTTCTCTAGTTCATCCTGTTCCATTGGCAAATCAATTTCATGAATTGTTTCTTTCTTCCAGCATTAGAAAGTAAATAAAAGGAAAATAATGAATATCACATTGAAAGTGAATAGTTGAAGCTAAATTCACAAATGGGGTAAAATAAGGGCAAACGATCATGAATAAGTAGAGTTTAGATGACGAACAATTATGTCATTGTTTTCTTCATTGAGTTCCTCACATTTCTCAGAAAGCCTCCATAACTTTTGTGGGATCTCGGAAATTTCACTCGGAAGAAATACAAAACCAAAATATCATATGAAGCACAGGCACAGCTATTGCCTAAGGGTGAAATAAGTAAACTTTTGTCACAAATGAGACCAGTCAACTAAGAAGTCAAAATCAACTAAAAACAAAGAGACAATCCTTGCCTACTCTTGAAATATACTGTACCAAATCTTTTTCTTATCCCTTTTCAATCACAATTCTACAGGATGATACCAGAATGAAACTAATAGTCACAAGGCTCCAGCAAAGGTTACTCTATAAGTTCTATAATATGCAACCACAAGATGCCCCTAAGTAGCCCTACTATTACAGGAAAGACAGCTTTTCAAGCTAAGCCAATACTTCAATATCCAGGCCTTCCTTTTGCGTAGGCAGAATCGTTTGCATCACTTCTGATTCCATTGTTTTGTAATCACAGTGTTATTGGTGTTTGGGCCTATATGGGGTACACAATTGGTTATTCTATTCTGTTCCTCTTTGGTGCTTTATGTCTCAGACAAAGAGATACATACAAGCAATGAATGAGGAACGCAGATTGACAGAGCTTAGATGACCTTTCTAATTTATCATGTTTAAAACATCTTTTTGCTGTAGTATGAACTTCTGCAGCTGATATAAACGATACATCTCCAATCTACTAATACCAGAATATTTTTTAGGAAGGCTAACACAAAATTAGGTGGAGGAAATTTCAATTTTTACTCAATGAATTCCACATTAGCTTTCTTAATTATGATACCAGTAATATGAAAAACAAAAGTTCAGGCTGCCCATGATGGAATATCCAAAATATGTTTACCACTGCCTAAGGGTGGTACCTACGCACATCAACTAATATCTATACAGTTAGCTGATATCTGAAAGTTAACTCATTCTGACCATTTATATAAGCACTCAAAAGTTCAAAATTAGAAAAAGGTTGAGGTACATCTTGTATTTCCATGAAATTTTAAATCCCCATTCCAGAGAGTGCTTATATCAACCGTCAAGAGTTCAAAGCTAAGAAAGGTTGAGTTCATGCTGGTTTGAAAGTTCAAACATCCTTGTACTTTTTATCACCCCTCTCCAAATCCATAAGAGACATGAGCAAATCCTTGCATAGAAACCAAGACACTGTTTTCCTAGAGTGGCAATATTGAACCTTAGGATCCAAGTAGTGTTTGATAGAAGCTGTACTTTTTGTTCTAGAAATTTTTTAAAAAACTTTTATATCATGCATTTTCACAATTAGGTCTTGTTTGCTTCATACTGAAAGTTTAGGCTTTTATTATGCAGTGATTTCCCTCTATTTGTCCGAATTTAATTTGGTTAATAAAAGTGTGCATTCTAAACATTCACAAAGGTAACAAACAAAACTGATCCAAAAACCTCTCACCCTATAATACAAGGAAAGAAAGATGACTGATAAATGAAACCTCTATATATACATGTGCACACACACATACACACACGATAAATGGAACCTCTATAAATTATACACATACACACATGTTGTCATCCGAAAGACTGCATAAGTACGTTACCTGTCTGCGTAATCTTGACCTCTTAGCTGACTCCCTATTAGACTGCTTTCTCTTTTCTATTCTCTGTTCATAATCTTCCTGTCAAAGCAACAGAAGGGGTCAACAAAAGAACAAGAGTTGCATAGACTTATGCCAGTTGATAGAAGTGAATAGAACTGTTAACGTTTACGAGAATGATAGCTAATCCAAAGGATCATAAGTCCATATCACAAAGGACTCAGACTATACAAATAAAGATGATAAGAGCATTTTTCATTGCATATGTTCCTGTAAAATATTCTCTCTTTTCTTATAAGCAGACAAGTTTGTAATTCTATGAATCATGTGTGCCAAATTCAAAACCTGTGAATCTGTCTAGAGTGAAAATTTAAACATGGGATTATAGAAGCAGTCTACATAGAAGGTTCTATAGTGCACATCTATGGTGGAACTACAATTGCTGATAAAACAATCATCAAGATTTACCAATATAAAAAATAATTTTAAAAGGTCAACATGATAGCTATTCTCAAACATTGATGCTCTATCCAAAAAATAAAAATAAAAATAGAAAGGAAAATCATTGATGAGTACTCTGCTAGTCTCCAACCACAGTATGCATCAACAATTCTAAAGTTATTATTGTACCTGAGAAACACAGTATGCTAGACTCTAGATCATAGCAGAAAAGAAAAAAAACACAAAAACAATTGATGAAAACATGAAATCAAACTTTCAAAATAAAAATGAATCCAGTTATTAATCCAGTTCACGTGCATGATTTCTCATACAAGCATCATTGCTGAAGCCACTACAGCTGAGGAACCAGATAGATTTTGCTTCACCTTGGTACGTATGGCTTGGCTGCTGGAGACATTGAGGCCCATTCCCAAATCCAAATGGGTCTCAGGCACGTTCACCCCAAAATCCTGAAATGCCAAATCTGTATTTGTACCACCATACTGGTCTGTAGAATTATTCTCAGCATCCCCTGTTCAAGTTCAAGCACCAGAAATCATCAATTAAATGGGTTTAAATAATGAAAGCATTGATCTTCAAAGCATACCATCTTGATGCATCAGGTCAAGCATTTGATTTTGAGTTGCTGAAAAATCCTGGAAAGAAAAAGAAAAGGTTTGAACCATATTAGTGTACTCATCATGTGTTCTATCTGTCAGTCACACAATCTCTTCAGAGGAACAGTATTTAATCTGGTCTGCTAGACCATACCAGTAACCCAGGAAAAAATTTAAATTTAAATCTATTGAACATAAGATTAATTAGAATGACATACTCGATTAACGTCACCACTCTCATCTGACGAGTCCTCACCTCTGCTTGCAGCACTGTTAAAAGAAAACCTTTGCATGAATATATACAAATACATGTTAGGGAAGGGATTAATCATGGAGAGGAATTAACAATACCTTTGTGAAGCACCATCACCATTATTTCCAGAAAAAGAAATTTTCTTCTCACTTTCCGCCAATGCATTACCTACGAACTCCGTACCTACTGAGCCTTCCTTGTATATTGTCAATGATTCTGTGTACTCATCAAAAAACGTTTCCTCTTTCTTCTGAATTTCAAAAGGCGCACCCTGCCCATTTAGTTTAATTGGTTGCAAAAATGTATTCAGTCATCAATGTGCAAGTAACTTGGCTTAATCATGATATAGAAAAAAATTTCCTTGGGGAATGCAAGTATCTGCTTTTTATTTTTAATTTTACCACCAAAAACTCAAAATCATAACCCTTCATACACAATATATATATTTGTATGGGATTTTGGCAAACCCTACTAAAGTTTGGTATGAAGAATGGCCAAGAGACAGAAACTAAGGCAGGGGAGATATTATAAAATTACATTAGGATATGCACAATTATCTGGAGAGAGAGAGAGAGAGAGAGAGAGAGAGAGAGCCGCACCTGAGTTGAAGGTTCACTGCTTTCCCTAGTCCCCATTAGTGTGGAAGGTATTGCAATCCCACTGTTTATGAACTCCAATAACTAAAAGACTAAGATAAGGAAAATAACTTAAATCAGACAAAGCATGCATTACAGGTCCATTAAACAAAAAAAGAAAGGCAAACAAAGTGGTTCTTAATTGAACACACAGTTCTGAGTTCAAATTTCCAATCTTTATTTTTTTAGGATAGGAATACCAAAGCCCTTCCACTCTGAGCTGAGATTAACAACAGATAAATTTCATAGCATTTACTTTGCAGTTTCAAATTGAATAGGCAGCCAAAACTAAACATATTGACATAAATTTTCTCAGACAACCCACCAGAAATTATTGGAAGTATAGAACAATGAAAACAATCAATATCAACTTTTCAATGCTAAAATTCTCACAGAAATATCTATATATAAAACAAGGCAAAATCAATATCTATACTGCTTACAAACATCATAACAACAAAAAGTACAGCGGAACAAGAACCTGAAACAAATTATTGATTTTTAAACAAGTTAACAAGAAAAACGAAAAAATCAAATACCACAAACCCAATTAAGAGAGAGATACCTGTGGCTGTGTTTGTGGCGCCAAGCGAGAGAGAGAGAGAGAGAGAGAGAGAGAGAGTATTGAGTGCTGAGTGGCTTTGCTTTATGGGATCTTTCCTCTACGAACGAGGTTAAAAAACGAACGGTTAGGATCGTTTGTGGAGGATATCCAACGATCCACAAGCATTACCTTCCAGCCGTGCTATTTCTACCTTTCGTTTCTACTCTGTCGCGATTAGGAAATACACGTCTTTCTTCTTTTTTTACATAAATTAAAAATTAAAAAGCGGTCCCAATCTTTTCTTGCTTTTTTGTTTTTTGTTTTTTTATTATTCTGTATTTAGTTATAGTTTGGCCTCTTCTCATAAAAAATTAAAATAAAACTTCTTTATTCACTTACATTAGAGAAAAGAAAACCCACTAGGTTCAATCCTGCGTGCCATGAGCACCGCAGGGAGAAGGGGGAGTCCACCACCGCTATGGTGGAAAAGCTTATCGATTGTTTTGCTAATGTGCTTTGTGTCAAATCTCACTGTCCCCTCTAAACTTTCATGTATCCATGGATTGCTTATGTGTTTTGTGTCGAATCTCACTGTCCCCTCTAAACTTCTATGCATCCATGGGGCTTCATTCCGTATTCCACGTTACCTCATTCCATGTGGAATTTGGTTAGTAAAACCGATAACTTGTTGATATGACATGGACTATTTAGTAAATTTAGCTATTAAAAAAATTTAAAATCCAAATTAAATATAACAAAACTATCTCCAAATTTCCCAAAAGAAGGAAATGTTAAACCAAACCAAATAAATCATCCTCTACACATATGTTGGTTTATGTTGTGTATGTAATTTCAACCATAACCAAGGTATAATGTCTAAACTGGCATTGAGTTTCGACTGATTGAAAATTAGGATCCTGCTAAATGGGAGCCTTTGCATTCCAGTAGAGTTTAATGTCAAAGGGAAAGTTATGAGTGATTTGTGAGACTCTGGAGCTATCTCTTTTTCTTTCCATGTTTCCCAGATTTGGATGGTCCAGCAGTTGATGCGGATGCAGCAGGCTCCTGCTTCTTAGTCCTGCCAGGATGTCTAGGAACCAACTCGGCAACTTTAAGCATCAGCTGTTTCCCTGCAAATAGTCACCCAAAAAAAAAGAATAATGAATATAATTATAAATCAAAAGGCGCAAGAAAAGATCTCTTTTAGCTAAACTATGCAAAAATGCGAAGACATCCTTCCCTGGATTAATGAGACAACCCGACAAAGCAATCAATTTCAAACGTTCACTGAAACAACTTAAAAAACAAAGTCCATTTATCTAAACATAACCCTATTTATTCCTGATTTCCCAAAACCAATATGTTCCGACCTGAACTCTCTTTGTAGATGCTGACACTGCTAAGAACCAGTTGTTCAGAGATGATCATGGACTTATTATGCCCCAACGCTTGAGACAAGGATCTCTATTGCCCTACATGTCATTCCCATTGCCAGCCCCGCCCAAAGCGTGACAATCCAAAGCATGAAAACACAAAAGGGGTGACTAGAAATGATAGAATGGACAACTCAGGAGCATAACACAGCTTGAGTCACGGATTAGTCAAAGCCTATGTATAAGGTGATAGTAAACTGACGGTAACTAGATGGAACTCCAGAAAATATTTATACAAAAATGAGTAGAGAGCAGCTACGAACTGCCAAATATCACAACATTTTTTTGTAGCAATATACATAATGACTGTATCTGGCTACAACTGCCAACAAGATGAGGCATACCTCAAACCAAGGATTAAAAAGAATAGTAATTGAAATTTTCTCCCTACAATATTCCCCCTCACTATTAATCATATGCAGTCAGGGAAAGAAAAATGGACTAGCTATAATTGAGGGAACTTATTTCACTGTCCCCTCCGAAAATCTTTCATTAATTGTTGCATTACTGTTGCATGACATTTTACCAGAAAATCATTACTAACCGATGCTCCTAACCTTGATAGAAAAATAGAGAACTAATTCTGCTTTTTCTTCTCCTGAAAACGGAATAGTAGCGCCACACATCACAGTGAACCACTTAATGCGTGTAAAAATTATCATGTATCAATGCTAATGCTTTTGTTACACCAGGTTTCAATGATTTGGTCGCAGGCAAAAATTCCAAAACTTTCAGGAAGAAATGGCCAGCTAAACGTGAACTAGAGGAAAAGAGGTTTATTTCTTTTTTGGGAGCTGATATAATCAATGTACTGTCATACTCAGATTTGAAAGCAGGATATCTGATTCAAACATTTGTAATGGAGCTCTTTGCAAGCAGTTTTGAGACCATAATGCTGCCATAAAAGAGTGGGTGCCATTCAATATTTTCCTTAACACATGTATCTCTGTCAAAACAACAATTCTCTACTTGCCCAGTATCAAAAACATTATGTGAGGGATGCTCAAAAAACCACATTTATTCTAACCGGTATTAAGTGATCAGATTAAACGAGTATGTTGCACATTCAAAGAAGCAATTGATAATTAGAGAAGTTCATAAAGTTAAAGGTGCGAGCAGTAGTTGTTAAGCAATACTTACTGGTTGTAATGGCTGGATTAAATGGAGTTCCATCTTCCCTTTTCAGCAAGACCCTCACTCTCCCTATTTGCATAAAATCCCGCGGATAAGCCTTATCTATCTACATCATTCAAACAAACAAAATGCATATATTAGTACCACTCACACCCACTGCTGGGACTCTATATGCATAAATTCTAAGATACAGATGGTGCATATGTAATGATTGCAAACCTCAATTGCAAATGGGAGCTTGAAATGGCTGCAGCAATCACCGATTTCAGCGCAAGTAGGACTCTCACACGCTTTCTCGACACTTATTCGTCTCCCTTCAGCTACGGTTTTCTTTGAATTAATATAAACAGGATATATCACAACCCATCTCTTTATATTGGGGAGGTCCCTATCCATGTCTCAGATAACAAAAATCCTACAAAAAAATTAAATTGAACAGGAAAACACAAACCCATTACATTTCTTCCTTCCTAAACATGAATAAACAAACATCAATCCAGAAACCCCGAAACTCCAGAAAACCCAGATAACGTATGCAGATCTATGATCTATGAACACAAATGGCAGGAAACAGAAACAAGAAAAGAAAAAAGCAAATTACACAGCATACACAACCATTACCACATAATTCATCACAACAGCAGCAAATTAAGATTATAAAAAATAAAAATAAAAAATTAAGTTAAAAGACTACCTCGTCAGTTGCAGGCTGCAGAGAGATTTGGATCAAGATCTATATTCTTCCCCTGCTCTTCTTCTTTGAAAGAGAGTGAGATCGAGAGGGAAGCAGAGAGAGAGAGAGAGAGAAGGGGGGACAGAGGTAGAGAAAAGGAGGCAAATGCTTTGCCGGCGGTGAGAAGGAGAGGGGATTGCTGCCGGCTGGATGGGTGGGTGGGAGTTTTGGTGGCCGTCTGGTTTGGGGTTGCTGAGGATTGGGGGTGGTGGGAGGGAGTTCGCTCTTGGGCCCTTTTTTTTCCCTTCAATTACTAGTTTTCATTTTTTAATTTAATTACTTAACACTGTTAACTTAAGAGTTAAGTGGAAGGACTGATGTCAAAAAGTTAGATGGGTAATAGGTGGGCACAGGAGAAATGGTAACAGGAAAATTGAACTCTATATATATATAAAACTAATGTTTTTTGGGCTTTATTTTGAACTTTTTCTTTTTCTTTCATATAATTTAAAATTTTTATTTTTCTTTATATTTTGAACTTTTGAACTAATGTCTTTTTTTACTTAAACTAACCACCTAAGTTTAAAGTTTTTATTACAATTTTGGTTCAAAATGAGGTAAGTGTTAAACAAAAAATGCTTCATTTTTCATTTTTGTCCAAGGCCTCCAAAATCAATGAACCAGTCCTGTTTGACACTTGAATTTTGATTTGAGCCCATGATCAAGCATTTCAAGGAGAACAATGAGACGAGTCAAATTCACTACTTTTTAGGCCAAGTAACATTCTTTATTAGGTTAAAATAACATTTTAAGTTTCAAGGGTACTTCTGAAAATTTATTTGTATTTTGCTTGCAAGTAAGCTTCCTAGTGCATAAAATTTATTTGTATTTTGCTTGCAACTAAACTTCTTAATGCATACATGGGTTTAGCCAAGTTGGCTAGAGCATATGTGCTTCCCATTCGTCACTCGAGTTCGAATCCCTCTCCCCATAGTTTAGGTTAGATTAAAGTAGAATATTGCTTGTATCAAAAAATAAAAAAACTTCCTAGTGATTCTAGGGTTTGAGGTAGTACTAATAGTAACTTTAGTTATGTGATTAGGATTGTTATTCATATTATTGTAATCTCAATAACTTTGAGGTCTCTTTCAACTTTCTGGCGGATTCCAAGCTTTCATGTTCTAAGATTATTACTTGATTGTCTTCCCTTTATTATATAGCGTCACACAATACTTGATTCAAGAAACTCCATCCAAAACAGAATATATATGTTTTCCATCACTAAAAGATCCATACATGCAAGATAATTTAGAATATGAAACCACTAAGTCATAATTAGCCATAAATACGATGATTGGCATGCAAATAATAAACATCAATGCGCTCCCAAACCAGTAGAAACCCAAGGTTACACTCATTCCATATCATATGCAACTTGCAAGTGACCTCCTCCAACTCTACATCAATGGCATGGGAGTTGCCATCACTTTCAGAGACGGAGCTATTCACATGCATGAAGTGATCTTGGTCCCCTCCATCATCTTACCTCTTTAACTATATATACTTGAGGCATAAATTGCGGAAAAATCCTATAATTGTAAGCATGTGCCCTTCCCCCTCAACTGACCACTTTCATCCCACTTTCTTCTGCCACATAGAATTTTTCCATATCAATTAGATTCAACCAAAGATTTTCTCTGTTGTCACCTTTATAACATTTCTATATTAAGATGAAGCAACAATAATACCATTCATCAATCTGTTACCAATTCAGTGCATACGCACTAACTTGCTTCCTCTTTTGTCACTCAGTATATAACCAAGACACGCGTGACCAATAAATACATGACAGATCAGTGATCACTATTCACATTCCATGGCTGACCATACTCTAGCATAACAGATCACAAATGAACCAATAGAATAATAACAAAATACTTCTTCTCTCAAAGCTGTGCCTGTCAAGACAAACTTTCTGTGTTATATATGCCCACAAAAAATATTCAGACAATAGATAGTTTATAATTATAATCATTCATCATCTAGAGCCTTGGTGTACAGACTACAGTGCACAGATAAATGGTGGGTTCATGCAATGTATAAGAAATCTGTACAGCATCTTGCAGGTATTTTGAACTGTAGATATTAACACAAGATCCATTTGTGGGACTCACAATTGTAGACAGCTTGCGTGGGCCCACTCTAATTCATTCAAGCACTGATCATTAGGATAAAAACAGTACTACTTTTGGAGAGTGTTATTTGCACCCACTTTTAATTATATGAAAACATTATAACCCAATTGTAATGATGTCAAAAGGCTTATTTTGAAGTGCATACACATAAAAAGAATTACAGAACGCGAGGGGTTTGGAGTTTAAGTGATTAAGAGCATTTGTTGGAGCACCTGGAGTCCCAAGTTCGATTCCGCCTTCTCAATATTTAGTTATGTAAGAAAAGAAAAAGAATTAGAACCCAATTTTTAATTTTGATTTTTAGACCACAAGAACACCAAAAAAAGAAGAAGAAAAAAGCGCATCTTTATCAAAGATGGGTTATGGCAGCGGACCCAACAGTTTGCTAAAATAGAAGCAGAGACAAAAATAAAGCAAGCCAGTCAAAGTTTCCCAAAGTGAAAGAGACAAGTTTCTTTCACAATTTTTACCTTTAGCCACAATTGCTCAAATTTTAGCATTTCAATTTTTTTTCTTTATCAGATCAGTTATTCTCTCTCTTTCCTTATTGCGCTTCACAAAGGACAGTAGTTTCTGTGCTCCGCCAGCTTTCATTTCTGCCAGGAAGAACAAAAATAATGCGTAGGTTTCAGCCACACACATTCCACTCTCAGGTGCTCTCTTGTGCTCTTTGAATTTTGAAAATGGCTCCTTTGCGTCTTGGCGGTGGATGCATTGGCTTCACTTGGTGATGAGTGTCAGTCTTCAAAGAGGTTAGTGGGTTTCTCTGGTTTTTCAATTTTCTCCATTGGGTTTGGATTATTTTGTCAAGTTTTTGCCTTTCTTGATTTGCTTGTGGCATTTCACCATACCCGTGTCTCTGTCATTGTAGTTTTGGTGAAGTTTAGTCGGCACATTCTTGATTTTCTTTCTCTAAATATTTACTTCGTGGGTTTCCTATTGAATCTGATCTGCTTCTTTCAAAGATTTGTCTTTTGGGGTTGCACTTATTGAATTTCAGTTAATTTTCCCAGATGGAATCCGCTGTAAATTTTCAGTTTTTTTTAAGAACAAAAGAAGAAGGCTAAATGAGTAAAGGTTTTACAGTCGATATCCTGTAAGGTTTTACAGACAAGACGTTTTGATGAGGACATCTGTCAAACCCATTGGGCTTACAAATGAAAGAGATGGAAAAGGAAATTATTTAATTCGGTCTTCAAATCCTGCAATTTTGGAGCAGTAGATGATTCCTGTGTTTCTAACTTGTTTCCTAAGTTTTCTACTTTCTGTATTTCTTGTTTGACTAGGATATGGTTTACTTATATTTGGATTAGGATTTCTGTTTTAGCAAGGGATTTTTATCCTATTGTCTCTAGGTTTTAGTTTGCTGTAACTACCCCTTCTATGTAATTCATTATGGGGATTTGAGATTTGAGTTATTGAGTAAAGTTTATTTTCCAGAGATTGGAGAATTCTTGGTGTGAAGCTAGCCAAGGCATCTTTATCCATCGATTTTATGTTTTTTCATTGTTTTCGCTTCCGCTAAACTACCTAAATCCATAATTCACCCATATCCTACATCATATTAACAGTTCAAAATTGCTATTGACGTTGGTACTATCTGATTAGACTTGAGATCCACTCCAAATTTCAATGGGGATCTCCATCACGAAAGTTCTTGATACCCATGCACCATGGGACGTATGCTACAGTTAAAACATTTCTGACTGCCGGTAACCTCCTACTCAAAAAACTTTTGAAACTCCTAAAGCTGAGAGATTGGTACGTCTTAGGTTGGTTTGACATGATGCACAGAATATCACTACTTGGCTATAGAATACTATTGTATTATTGATAAGATAGAACTATGGCAAGATATATATCCATTGGCATTATGCAATTAACATGAATGAAACCAGTATTACCACAGTTTTGGTGCAAAAAAGCTATCTTAAAACTGAACTGGGTGAGGTAGTCAAAGTTTCTCATCTCAAGTTACATATTGCAAACTCTGAAAGTATATGGTACTTGTAGACAGTATAACATAACTAGATATTAAGATTTGTGACTTGTTATACACCAAACTAATTGAGAATTTCAAATGACAGAGGAAATATTCTTTGCTCCAATATCATGAGGCGTTTTGCTGCAATAAGACCAATTATGTAGGGAGATGATAGAATAATACCGTGATTTCTCTCGCGCATGAGAGAGAGAGAGAGAGAGAGAGAGAGAGAGAGAGAGAGAGAGAGAGAGAGAAGAAAAATATTGCTATTTCTCTTGTAAAAAGATGTTCTTTTATTTCAATATAAATAGTGGTGTGATACGTATGAGTGCCAATCTTGATCTTTTAGGTTATTATAGATACAAAAAGAAATTATAAACTAGACATGTTATTTGACCTTAATATTTTCAATTAAATGGTGTATCTTGTCATAATTTACTTTACGTTGATTTTTCCAGGTCTTGACAAGGTATTTATTGATTCCTGGTTTCACCCTTCAGCATGAAATCAGGACCAAAGGATGGCTGGCACTCTATTATGCCTCTTTGTTTGAGAGGCAAAGCAGCCTCACGTTTTTGCATGTTTCCAAAGGTGAAGACAGCAGGCTACATTCCAGGGAGCGCACCTGTCTATCTGAATGTCTATGACTTGACACCAGCAAATGGCTATGTCTATTGGGCAGGCCTTGGTATCTTTCACTCCGGGGTAGAAGGTTAGCAAACTTTAATCAGTACATAGTTCCAGATAAATCCAATATTAGTGGTTGCTTTGTGAAAATACTAGTCCTACACTCCCCGAAGATTATGTGGTCAAATAGAATTCTTGATTGTAAAAGCAATTTCTGATTAATGAATTTAAACTGGTGTCCAATTTTACTGAGTCCCAGGTTTATGAAGGTGATGCAATGTTTATTGATCATTTTTGCTTGCTTACAGTTCATGGTGTAGAATATGCCTTTGGAGCGCATGAGTACTCATCAAGTGGTGTCTTTGAGGTTGAACCTCGACAATGCCCTGGCTTCAAGTTTAGAAGGTCAATTTTCATTGGCATGACATGCTTGGATCCATTCCAGGTTAGAGAGTTCATGGAGCGTCAATCTGCAATTTACAATGGTGACTCATATCACTTGATTGTAAGGAACTGCAACCATTTCTGTGA